TTCGGGTCCTGAGCAAGCCCCTCCTCTGTCCACCTGCGCCCCTCGCCTGTGAATGCTGGAGGCTCCCCCTCGCGAGGCCCCGCTGCCCCGGGCTCCTGGCACATGGAGTCGCCCCGAGTCTTGCTCAGATCTTTCGTGTGGTGTTTCGGACTCCAGTCCTCCAGACAAGCCCAAATGCTCCCACTGCACTTTCCTGGGAAGGTCACTGCCTCCCGTGACAGCAACAGCACATGCCCTGTGCACAGAGAGCAGTGTGGGGACCCGGTGGGGACCAGATGGGGCACCCGTGGGGCACAGGCTGGGGGACCTGCAGGGATGGCTGTGGGGTGAGCAGGGAATGAGCTGGTCTGGCAGTTAAGGACCGGGAGACATTCTTGGCAGGACTGACGAGCTCTGCTGTTCCCAGTAAGTGAGGCTGCCCGACAGCCATAGGGTAATGGGCATTCACGACCCCAAAGGACCTCAGAGCCACACGCCAGCAGGAACTTCACAGACTGGCCTGTCTGCAGCCTGGCCGGTGCTCCATCAGGCTCATTTTCCAAGAAGGGCCATAGCTGCAGGCGAACAGCTCCACGTGAGGGCCGGTGTCCTGTCCTGGGTGACAGCCAGCTGGCTCCGTGCCACTCACACTGATCAGGCCTGATGGCTTGCCGGGTGGGGTGGGGCCCTTCATGTCATGTCCCCTGACTGTCCTGTCTCCCTGATCAGCAGAGCTGGCTCTCAGGGACCTTGTCAGCCGTCAGCACCAGTCTGGTTTCGCCTCCATCAGGTGTCACCCGGCACGTGGAGGAGGGAGGCACAGGAGCAAGCCAGGCCTCTCAGAGGCATCGCGGTGGATGGCCGAAGCCACCTGCTTGGTCACTGCCCCAGGGCCAGACAGGGATCTGGGTGGACAGCCAGCTGCCTCAGGGTTGGGTAGCCAGACAGAGACCAGCCAAGTTTGTACAGGACATGCTCATACCGAAGTGGCTTTTGTAAGAAGCTTGGATCTAACTGGGTGCCTGTGTGGAGTCTGGGGGTGGGGCATGGTCACTCCAGCTGGCTGCAGAGCCTCCCCCCGGGGTGCCCTGGAGAGGGCTGAGAAGTGGGCTGGGGTGGATGGGCATCCGATGGACTGATGCATTTTTCGTGGTACCTTCCTCCCTCTGGAGATAAATGCTATTATCAGGGCTCCCCTCCAGGGCTGTTTGGATGATTACTATGTGACAACTCACAGCGCACAGTGCCTGGCCCACATGGAGCTTCCCTGGGCCACCCTGGGGTGCCCTGCCCACATGGGGCCCTGCCACCCATTTGCTAAAAAAGCTGGAAATGCTCACTGGTGTGGGCAGGATACGCCCCATCACTGCTCTAAGTGGACCAGGCCGGTCTGTCCTCTGGCTTCCCTCCCTCCAACACCTTCCTGTTCCTTCACAAATAAATTAAAAGCAGACATGGCCCCTCATCACCCCCAACACAGCAAAGCTAGCATGGGGAAACTGAGGCACCATGTCCAGAGTGGGGCTCAGCGCTCGGGAACCAGCAGCTCCTCCTAGGTTTGGGAGTGGTCCCCCGATCTGCAGCCTCCAGAAGGGTCCTCGGGCCGGTCCCCTTCCACTGCGGACAGGGGCTCTGGGAACGCTCTCCCTCCAGGGGGCCCACCCTGCCAGCCGAGCTCCTGCAGGCTGAGTTGCTTAATATCTCAAATGGAGCAGGTGAGAGCTGAGCACCGGACGCTCTGGGCTCCCTGGCGGGTTCTGCGCCTCCCGCCTCTGCTCCCTGCACGCAAGTGCACGCTCATCAAATACTGAACAGAGCTCTCTTTAGAGGTGCGGCGGGAGTGAGGCTCTGCTGTGCAGAGAGGGCAGGATCCACCCGTGTGCAAGTCAGTGAGCCTGAATGTGAGCTCCTGGCCCTCCTGTGGAGCGGGGGGGCGTATGCGAGGGGGCAGGGAGCAGAGTGGGGAGTGGACAGGCACCGAGGGCAAGGGGGCAGCAGAGTCAGCAACGGAAGAGGCACTGCCCTGACTTTGGAGTTGCAGGGCGGGTGAAAGAGAACCTATGCCCACCCCATTCCCCCT